GACTCCGTCGAGGGATGTGGGCAGAAGGACGTCGCTGGAAGAGCAGCGCGGGTCTGTAGTTTGGGAGTGAAAATTGCCGCCCTAATGGTCGCGCCAGGACCCCAAAAACGCTGGCCAGTAGATGCTCGGCGTGGGCTGACCCTGACGTGACGGGGGCTGCCGAGTAAGCGGTATAGTGCACCTAGTAGGCTCTTGGCTCTGACCCCGGTTACTAGCGTTGTTGTGGCGCCTGAAGGAGCAGCATCCGGAAGCTGATGATTCGGGAAGCATTGTTACGACCCTCATTCATAAGAACATAAGAACATAAGAACAAAGGTAACTGCAGAAGGCCTATTGGCCCATACGAGGCAGCTCCTATTCTATAACCACCCAATCCCACTCATATACTTGTCCAACCCGTGCTTGAAACAATCGAGGGACCCCACCTCCACAATGTTACACGGCAATTGGTTCCACAAATCAACAACCCTGTTACTGAACCAGTATTTACCCAAGTCTTTCCTAAATCTAAACTTATCCAATTTATACCCATTGTTTCGTGTTCTGTCCTGTGTTGATACTTTTAATACCCTATTAATTTCCCCCCGGTTATGTCCATTCATCCACTTGTAAACCTCTATCATGTCACCCCTAACTCTTCGCCTTTCCAGTGAATGCAACTTAAGCTTTGTTAATCTTTCTTCATATGAAAGATTTCTAATTTGGGGAATTAACTTAGTCATCCTACGCTGGACACGTTCAAGTGAATTTATATCCATTCTATAATATGGCGACCAAAACTGAACTGCATAATCTAAATGGGGCCTAACTAGAGCAAGATATAGCTTGAGAACCACACCAGGTGTCTTGTTACTAACGCTGCGATTAATAAATCCAAGTGTCCGATTTGCCTTATTACGAACATTTATGCATTGATCCTTTTGTTTTAAATTCTTACTAATCATAACTCCCAGATCCCTTTCGCAATCCGACTTCGCACTCACAACACCATCTAGCTCGTATCTTGTAACTCTATTATCATTACCTAACCTCAGAACTTTACATTTATCAGCATTAAACTGTATCTGCCAATCCTTTGACCATTTCAAAACCCTATCTAGATCAACTTGAAGTGATAGTGAGTCCTCCTCCGAATTAATTTCCCTACCGATTTTCGTATCATCGGCAAATTTGCAAATGTTGCTACTCAAACCTGAATCTAAATCATTTATATATATTATAAACAACAGAGGTCCCAGGACAGAGCCTTGAGGCACTCCACTTACAACATTTTCCCACTCTGACTTGATTCCATTTATACTAACTCTCTGTTTCCTTTGGTATAGCCATGCCCTAATCCAGCTTAATATAGCACCCCCAATACCATGAGACTCTATCTTTTTAATCAGTCTTTCATGTGGCACTGTATCAAAAGCTTTGCTAAAGTCAAGGTATACAACATCGCAATCCTTACCACTATCAACTGCCTCAACAATGCTAGAATAAAAAGATAACAAATTTGTTAAACATGAACGGCCATTTATAAAACCATGTTGCGACTCAATTATTAATTTATGTTTTTCAAGATGAAGACGAATTTTATTTGCTATTATAGATTCGAGTAACTTTCCCACAATAGACGTTAGGCTAATTGGTCGATAGTTAGACGCAAGTGATCTATCTCCTTTCTTAAAAACTGGTATCACATTAGCAACTTTCCAAAACTCTGGCACACTGCCTGACTCTATTGATTTATTAAATATGGTTGACAGTGGGTCACAAAGCTCCTCTTTGCATTCTTTAAGCACCCTGGCAAACACTTCATCCGGCCCTGGGGATTTGTTTGGTTTGAGTTTTACTATTTGTTTAAGAACATCCTCCCTGGTAACTGCTAAACTCGTCAACCTGTCCTCGTCCCCACCCACATAGACTTGTTCGGCTGAAGGCATATTGTTAAGTTCCTCTTTAGTAAATACAGATACAAAATATTTATTAAAAATACTACTCATCTCTTCATCACTATCTGTTATTTGACCTGTCTCAGTTTTTAATGGACCTATCCTTTCCCTAGTCTTAGTACGATATAACTGAAAAAATCCTTTAGGATTTGTCTTTGCTTGCCCTGCTATGCGAACTTCATAGTTTCTTTTTGCTTTCCTTATCTCTTTTTTAACATTTCTAACCAGTTGTACGAATTCCTGTTCTAAAGTGACCTCCCCATTTTTAATCCTTTTGTACCAAGCTCTCTTTTTACCTATAAGGTTCTTCAAATTCTTTAAATTCTTTGTTATCCACTTTTCATTCCTGCCTGCAAATCGTGTCTCCCAGTGCCACATCTTCAGAGACTTTTATAAGACATTTTAGTATGCTGAAAAGTATTGAAAAAAATATTTGTTTAAAAAATAGACCCAGTGAAAATTGAACTGAAATATTTTAGCTAGGATTTTGTCATTATTTCTTTTACTTAGGATGTATTTTCTTGTATTTTTTTTTTTTTGCACCTTGTTGACATGTTTATTCTGACTTTTTATTTTATGTCTCCACTAAATAAAGTTTTCGAGTGTGATTCAATCTTGATTGGATCCCACTACAAAAAGCTTCATTTTGGGGGAGATAGGGGGATATGTAACAGTGCAAGTATTTTGCACTCTTTCATGTATAATTGTGAATTATAATTGTGGGTGTGTGTATGTGTGCGTGCGTGTGTGTGTGTGTGTGTGTGTGTGTGTGTGTGTGTGTGTGTGTGTGTGTGTGTGTGTGTGTGTGTGTGTGTGTGTGTGTGTGTGTGTGTTGGCAAGGAGGCGCGCGGTACGAGGGAGGGTGACCGGCCTGGCTAGTACTCTTGAACAAGGAGAGCCTTGTATACTGCAAGACCTGCCTGGGTCCTATAAGGGTTAGTTTTGCTTCTCGGGCCTTATTTGGGCATGAGGAAGAGAGTACACAGCTTTCCCCACGTTGGGGAGGGCTGGGAGATTCAGTTAGCGACCGCCTTACAGAGAGAGAAGGTGACCAGCCAGTCTTCCTCACCCTGACGGGTGACACTCCAGGCACCCTCAGGGTGTATCCGTCTGAGTTGTGAGGTAAGAGTGTCAGTAATGCATTGTCTTGATTGGGTGTCTTAGTGGTGACGAGCTGAACCATTTAACCATGTATGGTGTGGGCGTGTATGGAGTGGGTGAACCCCCCCCCCCCTTTTAATTTGGTCAATATTGTGTTAAATAGTAGAATGTCAGTGTTAAATATCAATTGCTGGAATTTGGAATAATGAAATAATTTGGTAATAAACATCTATGTGTAGAATAACAAACTTGACTTTTGTTCAGTCCTCTTTTTGAATCAATGTCCCCACAAGTAAGAGTTAAGGCTAGAGAGATATCTTGATGAAAAAGTGAAAGATAACTAAATTAAGCAGTGTTCCTGTCGCATTGTTTAAGTGGAAGTGAATGTAGATTCAATGACAGGTGGTGGCAGCAAACATTCAGAACATCTTAGAATATCAGTATAGAATAACATCATCGATAGAGTAGAATAAAATCAGTCTACTCTCCCCTTTCTTTTTATTCCTCCTACATCACTCTACTCCTCCTTCATTCTCTCCCTCCTGCCTCCCCTCTTCCCGTTCGTCTCCCCGTTTTCTATTCCCGCTCGCCTCTCTCTACCTCAGTTCCCGCCTCAACCCCTCCCCATGTTCTATCCACCCATCCCCTCTCTTCTCTTCTCTTCCCTCCTCCTCTCTCCTTCTTCCTTTTTACTTTGTTTTTGATTTTCTACACAAGTCTTCCACCCCCCCCCCCCCGTTACCCCCCCCCGTTACATCTGTCTTAAATTTTCACCATCCCAGCCAGGGGTTTTGGTCCCCTTGCCTGCAGTTGGCCCACAGCAGTCTAGGAATTTATGGTAGTTTGGATGGCATTTCATTGCACCTTTCATGTGGTTCTGAGATCTGACTGCATGCCAGTGGATAGCCTCTAAAGAGGGAGTTAATCACTCCTTTTCCTATGGGGTATACTCAGTGGATAGTCTCTCTTTGGGGTTTTGGGGTTTAGTCCTCAATAAAATTCCCATTTGGTGTGGAACCATCAGTTACCACTTTTTTGCTTCCTTTTCTGATGGCAGGGAGGTTGCAGTTAACACTTTCCATTTAGACTAGAATCTATGGGGAGGGGGGGGGGGCTACCATTATTTCAGTTCTGTAATGATTAGGTTGGGGATGTTTATGGATCAGGTCATTCCTCCCTTGGTTTCAGCTCTCCTTGCCTGTTGTCCATGACCTCTGCTGTTTCTTGGGCTCCGATTCTCCCGGATGATTATTGAATTGGGATGATTAGAGTCTGTCCACCAATTTTCTCATCTTTCATTTATGAGCCAATTGTATCATTACCTTTTATGTAACAAGGTGGTGGAGCTTCCAGTTGCATCTTTCATTTCAATACTAGTACAAGGTGATACAGCGGTTTCTCTGGCTTTTTACTTCTTTGCCAGTGATTTGTGTTCTGTCTTGGCTTTTTAGTAGTGCCATCTTATGCACTTTTGCAGTCATGTTCCTTCATATCCCTTTTCTGAAGTTTCTCAGGATGCCATTTGGGCTTTTGATTGGTTATTGTCCTTTTTGTCTCTGGGTAGTCATGCTAGCAAACTTTATTTACCGTCTTGGTTTTCTTTGCCTCCCGCTTCAGTTCGTCTTCAAGGTGAAGTTATAGAAGCAAACCAAGACACTTGAAAGGGATGAATTAATTTGGACTAGCTACTCGAGTACTTTTTTTTGTTATACTTCTGTAGGAGACAGTTCAACGAAGTTACCAACAAACTGAAATCATAATAGTTTCCTGTGGTTACAGGTTTGTGTTTATTACATGGTGGAATGAATGTAGTCTCGGTAGTACCCCAGACTTAATGGGGCTAGTTTGGTTGTTAGAGAAGTGGTCATTATGTAAATATTAAATAAGTAATTGTGCAAGCATGAAAGATTACAAAGTTTGTTTATGTGCACTGAGAATTTGACTTTGGCTAACAAAACACACTTTTAAGTTTTCTTTATTCATTTGGACACATCATTGACACAATATCATGTTCTTCAACCTATGATAGAAATAGTTGAAAATATACATTATAGTCATAGTCGACACCTGTTCAAAAATATAATTGGTTCCGTTCTAAACATACATGTCAAAGAAATATGGAGGCATTTTCTTTGTTTTATGAAGTATGTGTTTAATAACATTTGCAAATTGTGAGTCCATTAACCAATCCAAAATTCTCTCAAATTCCAGCAGAGAGATCGTTGATAACTTATCAGTTACAAGCCACATAAAATGTTGATACCTAACTTTGTTGTTGTTTAATACAAGTGTCTTGATGGCTCCAGTGATTTGAAACATTCACAAGATTATCTTTGAAGACTCATTTCAAGTTTTGGCTGATGGAAAAATATAGGAATGTATAAGTTACCAGTCATATTTGTTAATTATTGGTGTTGATTTCATTTATAAAATAAATATTTAATATTCTATTTCATAATTAAGTAATCATCTTTTAGAAAGTTGTTTCTTGAATGTTGCCAGTTACTTCGTATTGGTATTAAAAAAAAATTGGTTACAAATCATCTTTGTCCATTATACACTGAACTCTGGGTGTAGTCAACCCAAATCCTTACATTAAATTCTAATTTTGACCTGTTCATTATTTGTAAATAATGAAAATTTGTTATGCATTTGTTTTGGGAGCTGTATAACTATGAATAGTATGGAAATGGGTAAAATAAATGCTTATTGTATGTTGGAATTCATTTAACTGTATGGAATGCATGATTTAGTCATCTACTATGACATACTTTGATCCATTTTTTTTTAATAACTAACTTCATTTGATACACTCAGGCATGACACAGGATGCAATTGTAAACAAAACCTTCTCATATGCTCAACTGGGACTAGCGTTACTAAAGGGCTAAACTTGAGCACACAAGTATGCAGATGGTTCTTAATTTTACCTCCATACAGTATTGAAGGAACACGAGGTGTAGCTGATAACAACCAGAAAGTGGTTACACTGTACTGAATCACTGGTACATAGCTTGAGATTTCTTCAGGTACAAGATAATCTACATACTTTAAATTTCTTTGGGGGTGAAATCAAGTTAGACTAAGAACACTGAAATATATCAAAATAAATGTCAAGGTGTCATAACAGAAAACTTGAAAAAAATATTAAGTCATATATCACAATTTTTAACATATTTATAACTAATTAGGAAAAGCCTATATGGCAACCATACAAAATGAACAATGAGAGATACTTGCACAAGTATCCAACATTATGAAAATGAAGTACTATACATTGCACATAGTTAAAATGATGTTGGGAAGCTTGAGAGTAACAGGGCACAAGTTAATATTTTTATCCAATCACAGATTTTCCTGCTCAGTGTTAGAAATCCTTGTCCCAGTGGAATGCTCTAGCTTGAAGTTATTTTCCTTTTGTCACTTGTCAGTCTACACATTTTCCATAAATTGAATCCATTTTTGTTCTAAGTGATATGTTATCCACTTTCATTGTATTTACTATTACTTTGTTTCTAGAGTAAAAACAGCCATCAAGTTAAAATTTTGAAGACCATTGAGCGAACCATCACAGTTAGGCTACTGCAGCATTGCAAACCTGTATGACAAACATCCAAAACATTGGGATCCTGATGTTGTACACTGTAACTTCTTCATCCATAAGTGAAGATGTGATTACACACACGGAAGTTGGTAGTCATAAAATCTGACCAGCAGATAGCTACCTAAAGTTCACGACCAAGATTATGACAAGGTGATTATTTGAAAGCCATTCAAGGAACAATTTGATCTATTCTCAATTTTGTGTTATGGACTAGTAACCATATATATATATGAAATTAAAATATTTGTAGTTAAATTTCTAAATATAATTGAAAGACTAAAATGTTGAAACTAAAGGTTCTAGAAACCCTGCTAAACTGGCAAAGATACAGTCTACTGATACAGTAGTGAACACCTAGAACTTCCTCCCATAAAACCACCTTTTTAAATTGGATAAAGAGCTCTGATCATAACATCATTCTATTAACATGTCAATGGATAAGTTTCTGATCAATACAAGTTACAGCAGTGTTTCACATTTTCAAAAGATAATTCCAAGTATTGAGGAATCCGAGCCATAGCATGATGTGCAATAGTGTTTCTTCGGAAAAGCTTTATCATCTTTGTTTGTATTTAATACAATGAGTGCTTCACATAAATTACTCGCTTTAGTTTGTTCTTGTGTGTGAAATATATATTCACCGAATCAATCTTTTTAAATTATTCAGCTGGGGCCTGGAGCCAGCATGTTTTAAGGGTAATTTAGTTAGGGTTCAGAAGTGCATACTTTGGCGTCTTGTTTTAGCTTGGCCACCATTGGTTACTTTATAGTTGTGGTCACGTGTGAGCATCAATCCAGGGCAAGAGAAGATCGAATCCTCTGTAAAAGTAAGTTAGTTATTTAATATGCAATACAAACATCAAATCAAGCTATACAATCTAAGGGTGGTTCTGGATAGTAAACTTGTGAGAGGAGCCTACAGTTTTAATTATAGACCTGTATCATTGACAAGTATAATAGTCAAAATATTCAAAACCAAATGGGTAGAACACCTGGAGAAATATTGTATAAGACACAGACAGACAGTATGGTTTTCGATCTAGAAGATCCTGTGCAACGAATATACAGTACTTAGTTTCTCTGAAAGAGCCACAGAGGTTTTACAGCAGAGTTGCTTGGGTTGATTGCATTTATATGGACTAAAAAAAAAAAAGCACAGGTTTTTGATGGATTCCCACATAAAGAGGTTCTGGAAACTGGAACATACTGGAAGAGTGACAGGGAGGCTTCTTACATGGAGGAAACATTTTCTGACAATAATGATGACAGTAATCAGGGGTATGTATCAGACTGGAGAAATGCCATTAGAGGAGTACTACAGGATTCAGTTCTTACACCAGTAATATATTTATTGTCTACATAAACAATCTACCAGAGGGAACAGAATTACATGAACATGTTTGCTGATGATGCTAAGATACTAGGGAAGATAAGAAACTTAGAAAATTGTCATTTTGCCCAGGTCCTCTTGAAGGGCAAAAGTATATGGAGCACCACTTAGCAAATGGGAGTTAATGTCACATCATAGAATGTGGAATGGGAGAAAATAATAGGCCCCACACAACTTGCAAATTATGTGAAAAGGCTTGGAAAATTGTGATAAAGAAATTTAGGGAGGAGAGGGGGGGAGGGTGACATTCTAGTTAGAAAACTGTCACTCAAGAACCATAAAGAACATTGTGTGAGAAGCCCAATTTCAGAATTGCTGTAAAATACATGAATGGTGAAATACCAAAATTGTTCATGACCTTTGTGAGACCAAAGTTGGAATATTCAGTGGGTTGTATGGTACCCATATCTTAAGAAGTACATTAACAAACATAATAAGACATGGATACGATAAGTTGTAAAGGCATGCAACTAAATGGCTTCTGGAACTGAAAGACAAGAGATATGAGGAAAGTTTAAAGCCATTATTTATGACAAAGCTAGAAGAAAGAGACAATATGATCACTACATACAAAATGGTAACGGGAATTGACAAAATTAATAAAGAATTATTCTTACGACCTGGAACTTCAAGAACAAGATGTCAGATTTGAGCGAACTAAAAACAAAGCTGCCAAAAAACTATTAGAAAATTCACTTTTGCAAACACAAGTGAGAAGGTGGTGAACAAAACAATCACTAGTTTCTAAGCATTATATGACAAAGAGGGCTGGGAAGACAGGGCATCACGCACATAGTGCCCATTCTGAAACTACTTGGGTAATAATTAATTACACACACACACACACACATGTCCCTTCACTTCAACATTGGCACACACCTTTTGTCTATGACACAAAGGAGGGAAAGTGCGAGTGACAAGTTTGTACTACTCTAGTCGTGTTCATAAATTTGTGCATGTAAGTGGATGGGAAGAGTGCTTTTAATGCAAATAATTTTATATATACAGTGTGTATGTATAAAATAATATATATCAGCTTTGGTATTGTTTCAGTAATCCAACGAATCTTTAATATGTTGGTCAAGGTAAATACAGTACTGTATCAGGAATGCATCTTCATAAGGAGAATGCTATAATGACTTCTTGATAATGCTTATTTAGTTTATGCTCCCTGTCCTGTTCACAGGAACACATACCTGGCATTAAGAGTGTTATGCACTGTTTCACTAACAATGGCTACTTACGGTCTTTGAGGGTGTGTATGGTATGTCCTAAAGACTCAAAAAAGGAATGTTTCATCGCTGCTGCTGCAGAGATCCTTTTTTTTGCTTCATACTAGAAAGAAACACATTGGTATGAGTAGTTAAAGCCGTTTTAATTAATGGTACTTGATATTACTGTAATGTTAAATATGTCTCATGAAACTGACTTCAATGCATTTACATTTTATTATAATAAAACTTATTTTGAAATTACAAAACTATTTCAAGATACAGTATTTAAATGCCAAAATGGTTATTTGAATATCAGTACAGTATAAAGAAAATAATACACAATTTCCATTTAATGGCTTCGATAATGGCCAGCTTTTAGGATTAATTTACTAACATGTAAATTACTGTATATGTTAATAAATTTAATCCTAATAAAATTAAACACACAATGCTATAAATTCATTTAACCACTCTTCATAGAAAATTTTAGTCTAAAGGTGTTCAATTTACAGGGAAGGAAGGGGGTGATTTGAGTCCCGACTTACAAATGTCTGCTAACATGAATGGCCTCCCAAGTCCCTCCTTTTGTCTCAGTTGAGACAAAAACCTGTTCCACCATCCTAGTAACACCAACAGTGAAGCACATGTTAATGTGCTTCAGTTCCCAATGTGTGTACTGTATAACAATCGCTGAAAAATAATTTAAATGATGCAATCCTGTCCAATTCATTTGCCTCTAACACGTAAGGACCAAAATTGGAATACACAACAGCAAGCAGCTGGGATAAATCCTGGCACCATTTCTCCCTAAATTAGCTCCATTACATAATCTCGTCTTCTGTCCACTTTCCTCCTGTGCCCACAAAGCTTGTTCTCTTGATTTGCTACATACAAAATAAGAGGTACTAAAATGCACATACCCAAGCCACCCACCTAACCTAACACACAGCTAGGTAATTACAGGAAATGTGGACGTTTGAGAGTCGCTACATTTCACAATACATTGGAGATCATAGCATACAAAATGAGATGTATTAATTGAGGACAAGTTGGCTCATAAGGGCACTTTTCTTTATGTAAATGCCACATGTAAACCCACACTGCCCCAGTCAGCAATATTACTTTACTATGTGGGTGTGGGTATTGAGAGAGGGTACCAGGAGTGGGTATATAAAGTAGGGGTGGGTGTAGGTTCTAGGGTGGGTCTCAGGAGTGGATGTGGGTTTTGAGGTGGGTATCAGAAGTGGGTGTGGGAGTGGAGTTGTTGGGGAAATTACAATGTTGTTGAGAGTGGCAGCTCTTACACATCCTCAATGACCAACACAGTCACACACAATTGGGACAGCATCATGATGGAAGGACGGTGGGAGGTGTTTACTCGTGCTATGAATTACAAATGGCTGTATCCAATATTTATATTAATTTATTCAATATTAATGCAATTATGAATACTGCAACACCCATACATATTATTGGAAATTTTTAAGTAAGAGAAAGAGGAAAAGAATGACAAGAAATGTCCAAGCTCTACCATCAACTCGGTCAAATGCTAGACAGGACAATGTGGCACCCCTACCAGAACCACAGATATTAACACCAAGTAAAACACCCAGCACTTCCACAAATTACTATAACATCTTTCTTATTTGCCAACATACAAGGTATCAAAACACGCAAAACAAAGTCCATTTTCTAACTGGTCTAAATGAGAAAAGGCAATTTTTGCAGCTTTGACAAATTCACACAAAGGAGTGTCATGACAGTGAGATATGGATACCCACAAAAAATCTTTTCAGATGTGATAGAAAACACAGGCTACAGGGTAGGGTCAGCCTGTACATCAGACACACTTCATCTGCACAGAGCTGCTAAACACCACAAATTATATGGTGGAAGTGTCGACACTCAAAATGGAAATTCTGAATGTGGTGATTGTCCTTGTATATAATCACCAGATGCAAATCCTGAGCGTTTAAAGATCAACTTACAAATATAGAATACTGCATAGAAAACCTTACAAACCCTACCCCAAACATTATCTTGCTTGGTGACTTCAACTTACGGCACCTAAAATGGAAAATGTCGCAAATATAGTTATACCAGAGAGAATCCCAGGGTGAAACTTAAGTGAACAGTCATACATAGATAACCTCTTGTAAATATGTGACAGACTTGCCTTAAACCAGCAAATAGTAGAACCAACTAGGAGAGAAAATACCTTAAATCTTATTTTTACTAACAATAATGAATTTATTAGGGACATGGCGAAAGAGAAAAAGATAAAACTGGAATGGGAACGGCATTCCCTCTATAAGTGAAGAAAACATATTGGTGAACATCTCAAATGCCCAACTCTATCCCAAGAATGACAAAGAAGGTTATGTAGAGAAATAGAAATGATTAAGCTAAGGTTGCAAGAATCATATAAAATCCAGAAGAGACAGAGCAATAGGCCATAAGTGAAATAGAAAAGAATCTGATATACTTTTTCTCCTATGCAAAATCTATGCAAAAAACTACATCCTGCATTGGGCCCTTGCCAAGAGTGATGGAACCTTGAAGGATGACAGCAAAGAAATGAGTGAAATACTGAGGTTACAGTATGAATCTGCTTTCAGTGAACCCTTAACACATTGCAGATCAGTGATCCAAACGAATTCTTTATGACTGTGACATCACCATCGAACCATATATCAGATGTTACCCTAACCCCACTTGACTTTGAAATAGCTATAGACAGCATGCTGCCCATGTACTCTACACCAGGCCCAGACTTCTGGAATTCTATATTCATCAAGAATTGAGGAAAAAAAAAAAACTATCACAGACCCTAAACATCCTTTGGAGACAGCCTAGATACTGGTGTTAGCCCCGACATACAGTACTTAAAACAGTAGAGATCATGCCACTTCACAAAGGAGGTAGTAAAGCTCATGCAAAAAAATATTCGCCAAAAGATCTAACATCGCACATCATAACAAAATTTGAAAGAGTGCCAAGAAGTAAGATCACAAAACACATGGAATCATAGTACAGTATCTACATAACCCTGGGCTACATGGATTCAGAACAGAACACTCCTGCCTCTCACAGTTGCTAGACCATTATGGCATGGCCTTAGATGACTTGGAAGGGAAACAAAATGCTGATGTAATATACACAGATTTTGCAAAAGCTTTTGACAAATGTAAAAGTGTTATCAGACACAAAATGTGTAGAATTACAGGCAAAGTAGGGAGATGGATCTTTAACTTCCTAACAGAACAGAACCCAGAATGTAATAGTCAACAAAGTAAAATCTGAATCATCCACCGTGAAAAGCTCAGTTTCCCAAGGTACTGTGCTTGTTCCGGTACTTTTCCTCATGCTCATATCAGACATAGACAAGGACACAAACTATAGTATCATATCCTTTGCAGATGACACTAGAATTTTCATGAGAGTAGACAACATAGAGGATACAGCAAACCTCCAATCCAGTGTTAATGAAGTCTTTCAATGGGCCACAGAAAATAACATGTTTAATTAGGTTACGTTCTAATTACTGTTGGAACAGTAACAATTACTGTTAACAGAGTCAAACCACACTACACTGAAAGAAAAAGTAATGTAAAAGATTAAGGAGTAATCATGTTGGAAGACCTTACTTTTAAAGACCAACAACAAAGTTGCCGTCACAAATGCAAGAAAAATGACAGGTTGGATAACAAGAGCCTTCCATACAAGAGATGTCACACCAGTGATGATTCTTTCTAAGACCATTAATGGTCTCTAGAGTGGAATATTGTTACACACTAACAGCCCCATTCAAGCTGGAGAGATTGCTGATCTGAAGAGTGTGCAAAGACCCTTTACCACTGTGAGTGGTAAAGAAAATTTTACCACAAAAAGAGGCGATATGATCACTACGTACAAAATAGTAACAGGAATCGATAAAATTGATAGGGAAGAATTCCCGAGACCAGCAACTTCAAGAACAAGAGGTCATAGATTTAAACTAACTAAACAAAGCTGCCGAAGAAATACAGTATAAGAAAATTCACTTTCGCAAACAATATGGTAGATGGTTGGAACAAGTTTGGTGAGAAAGTGGTGGAGGCCAAAACCGTCAGTAATTTTAAAGTGTTATATATGACAGTGCTAGGAAGATGGGACACCACGAGCGTAATTCTCATTCTGTAACTACACTTGGGTAATTAATAGAATCCATTCAATAAAACATCTAAATTACTGGGACCATCTAAAATTTTTAAATCTATATTCCCTAGAATGCAGGTGAGAGATACATAATAATTTGCATTTGGAAAATATTAGAAGGACTGGTTTCAAATATGCACACAGAAATAACACCACACGAGACCAAAAGGCATCGCAGGATGTGCAAAATAGCCCCACCAAAAAAGCAGAGGTGCAATAGGCACACAAAGAGAACTATCAACATCAAAGGCCCAAGACTTTTCAACACTCTTCCTCTACACATACAGGGCAAAACTGACCAACCTCTCGCAGTATTCAACAAGCACCTTCAAAGGACACCTGAAAAACCAGGCTGTGACTCGTACGTCAGGCTGCGAGCAGCCGCACTGAACAGCCTGGTTGATCAGACCAGCAACCAGGAGGCCTGGTCAGAAACCGGTCACGGGAGTACTCCTCCTCGAAATCTTCAACAGGTAGAACGGATAGGATTATCAAAGAAAGTTTCTGTAACTTGTGCTTAATCACACAATAGTTTTTTATCTTATGAGTAATTAATTATAACAATAAAGGTAACTAACCAAGAGAAACTTTGTTAGAAGTCCTAATGCCGAGTCATGAGCCAATCTCGGTGCTCGTGCCAGCAGTGGCTCTCCTGTGTGAGTGGGAAAGGAATACTGGGAAAAATCTTCATTGTTGCTAATACCAGACCAATTGGCTTCTGTGGGGGTGCCTAATGTACGGAAAATTAGGTGAAGTTCGTCTTCAACTGTGGCACCGGGGAAAAGTGGTCGACCACTGATCATCTCGTACATAATACAACCAACTCCCCTGTAAAAAAAAAAATAAATTATAAATCGAATTCAGTATTTAAAAAAACTTACAGCATTAATTTTCTTAAACAGTCCAACATGTTTTCAATACTGTTAGTATTAGAATAAAAAAAAACACATTTTATATAGTTTTTTTATTATTAATGCTCATGCCTTAATTTTCTCTGTACAGATTAGCAAACTATTGTATGGTACTTTATTTTTTTTTTTTTACTCCTCTCCTCATTGCTAATAAAACTATGTGCTCACCAGTGTCAGGTTAAAATTATCACTGAAAAAACAGACTAACAAAAACAAAATATAGTGGAACCTTGGATAACGAACGTCCCTTTGAACAAATTTTTCGGGTTACGAGCTCAATTTCTCCAGAGGCAGTGAAATGTGTGAAAGGAAAATCTGGAACCGGTGATGCAGATATAAAAGCGTTTAAGGCGAGCAGGGGACAGTCTCACCTCCTCCTCCTCACCCTCCCCATACACCAACACTGCTCCTCCCTCCCACTTCACCGCCTCCCATATGCCAACAAGTAATTATCAATAGAAGGCACCAAACCGAGAAGGCTATGTAGCCATACACCAACAAGAGTCCTCAGTAAAGGTAAAGTGTACGGTTTAATGTTCACTTACTTTTATTTTTATTTATGGTTTATATTTATACCAGATTATTTTGTGTATGAGAAATATGAGATATTCTGTATAAAATGTATTTTTAAGTTAATATTTTTGGGTGTGTGGAACAGATTACAGTAATTCAATTTACATCACTTCTTATGGGAAAATTCGTTTCGGGTTGCGAATTTTCGGTTTACGAGCCGTCTCTGGGAACGGATTAAATTAAAAAAAACCGAGGCACCACTACTATTGTGATACAGTGCCCGATAATAAAAGAAATTTTAGTTTTAAATCATAAATTAGTCTTGTTACTGTCAATGTAATGAGTAATTCAGAACAGTAAGCAGTCAGTGAAAAGAAACACTAGTGTGAAGGAAGTGGTGGTACAAGGGGTTCTATAAGGCTCGATCCTTGGACCCTTCTCTTCTTTATACATGTGAATAACCTTGCTGATGAGACAAGACCATGCTTATGAATGTTGCCAGACAATGCAATAAAGGTAAAGTGCAGTTAAAAGTTCATTTACTCTATTTACAGTTTTCATTTATTCCTTATTGTACGAAAATAAGGAAATTGTGTATGAAAAAATATAAGTAATATTCTGGATAAAATATATTTTAAGTTAATACTGTACAGTATTTTTGGGGGTGTGTGGAACAGATTAATTCAATTTACATTATTTCTTAGGGAAAATTAAATTTTGTGTACGAATATTCAGGTTACGATGCATTTTTTTGAACAGATTAAATTCATACACCGAGGTTCCACTGTACAAGTATTAGCTAATCAAAGCAGTGCCCAGTTTATGGCATCAGCACTTCAGGCCTCAACTGATGCACTAGTCAGTTAAAACCAGGCCAGCATTGGCAACATGTAGGTCTAGGGGTTAGACCTTCGTACAAGCCTATGCGCAACCTGCTACAACTAGGGTACTCAATAAACATAACCATACACAGAGAAATCACAATAGTTTGATATATCAATAAACAAATCCACAAGGGCCATGATGAGGGTTCGAACCTACATCCAGAATGATCCCAGACACGTCTTAGTCGAATGCGCCGCAACATGGAAAAGAATTGCAACCTGGAGTGCTACTTGCCCTCATGAGGCTCCCCATATTCAACTAAGGCGCGTCTGGGATCATCCCGGACTTGGTTTGAACCCTCATCACAGCCCTTGTAAATTTGTTCATGACAGCCAGCATCACACTCAACAAATAACTCCAAATTGAAATGCATTAACAGCTCTTACTTTCTTATAGCTGCCCAATCTGTGGTTTTATATCCTAAACCTGTTCTTTGGCCTGGTCTACTCTCTCAACTCGACTATATCCAAATACTGTACTGGATATCAGTATTTCCTTGTATTTTATCTTTACAAAATCAGTTATTTTGGGTGAATATCAGGTTTAACATTGCTGCTTTATTCTCTCCCTTTGTCAGCTACAAAATATGTTGCCTCAGGAAGTGTATCCACTGTACTCACTAACTTTGCTCTCTACATTTCATCCCTATCTTGGGGGTCCTTTGTTCCCTATTGTTTTCGTGGTTGAAATGAGCAAGTAGTATGTTAGCCCTCACTTTTGTCATGCTCATTCCATGGCTGGCTCTTGTTTACTGGGGAGGAAGTAATATATGATCACTACCACTTTAGGCAGTCTTGCCATTTTTTCAGGAAGTGGTCTGATGAGCGAAAAACCCAACCTTTATTATTTGTAAACACTAAATAGGCAAGCAATATTTATGTGGAACATATGGAAAGGACAAACTTTATTAACTGACACACTATCTTATCACACTGGAGGAGATGAGGAACAGGAAAGGGTGGGGGGATATATGATAATGGCATACAGAATTCTATGGGGAATTGACAAAGTGGACAAACCAACATTCAAACTGAGAAAGTGAAATGAGCGAACATCAATGAAACTTGTAAATGAGCCACAGACACATAAGGAAGAACTTTTTCAATGTAAGAGTTGTTAACAGGTGGAAAGGACGGGGAAAGGATTTGGAGCTGAAGCCTGACCCTGTAAGAATATCTAGGCAAATGCACACATACATATGAACACTTGCCTTCTTCCTTTCTGTGTAAGGGGGATAGAAATAAACGTAAAAAAGGAAAGTCAACTAAAGAGAATGTCATTAGAGTGGAAACAAATACCTTGAAAAATAGACAACATTTTAAGGAAGTCTAATAAAGAAAAAAAAAAGAGCCATAATAATTACAAGCATCACAGAGAGAAGAAACATTTTTATCAGAGTAATGAGTCATTCTGTTACAGAATAATAAATGTGAAATTTAAAACATGGTTGATACAATAATGATATGATAAACATGCAAAATGGACAGCCAGTTTGTCTATGTTTAGAAACTATCTAATGTACATCTTACAAGATTATCACAAAACATTTGGGGAAGAGTTATCTTCTTGAAATAAAAAAAAAACATGTAATCATACATGGTTAATTTCTATTTCATGATATAATGAAAGTAAATTATCTTTCAAAATGTATCACTTTAATTTTATGCTATTGTATATATATATATATATATATATTTTGTCAATATTAGTCCACTAATTGTATGAAACAAGTTTTATGACAGTACTGTATACTTGTTCACTCCAGTTAACTGTAATATGTATAAATCACATGTGTATATACAGTATATAAAATTAAAATCATATTAAAAAATTAAATAAAATAACAAATATGAAGCAGCACTCACCACATATCAATTTGAGTAGAATACTCTGTTGAACCCAAGAGGACATCTGGAGGTCGGTACCATAACGTTACGACCTCATTACTGTAAGTCTTCGTTGGTACAGACTTGGCTCGAGCCAGACCAAAATCTGCAAGCTAAGAAACAAAGCAAATTCATTGGCCTGCTGCATACTATTATACTACAGCTTATACAAAATATTTGTTTTAACTATAAATGAACCTAAATACTGCAGTAATTATATATTTGGCTTGATAGGAGAATATGATTTCCCATTTACAATTGTTCTCATTCACAGAAACTATTTTATAAGAAACTGAAAATACAGAAAAAGCAACATAATGTAACCAGTAAATACTGTTTCTTTCTAGCATTAAGGTGGTGCAAATGATTAACAGCTGTCTACATTATCTATTTTTCCTATTCTCTACTATATAAGGAAATATCTTGGGATGTATTTTAATACTAAAGAAAAAATTAAGTACTATATTGAAAAATGAAATGACAGTTTCTGGGCAGCCCTCAGTAGTTCTCCAGTACTTAAGACTGTGACACCAAAGACAAAATGTTAATAGGCCTCTAGGCTTGTGCAGATGTAATGCAAACCAGAACGAGAATCTGGTTCACTTAAGAAGGCAAGGGAAGCATGGGGATCAAAGATCGACCCAAAACGAACAAACCATTCTGAAAGTACAGTACAAGTGAAGCAAAATATGAATCTAGAAAGAAAAGAAAGAAAATAAAAATGATATTTGCAGTGAGTAACACCACTGTGCAAACTCACATGGGTGCCACACTAGGTGGCAACCCAGGGCACCTGGGAGTCTAGCAGACTTGCCCATTAAGGGGCATATCATTGCATCCATTGCTTGATTTCTGGGCTGGCTCCTTATTAGGTCTCTGATGTTCATTCACAAAGTATCTTGTCCTATCTGAGGCATTCTTGTGAATAACATCTTAGATAGGTTCCTACTTTTCCTGGCAAAGATGAAAAGGATAACATCCTACAAAGGCCCTGCAAAGCAAGGCAGACTGCAGAGGCATCCCAGGTTTAAGTGTGCCAGAAATGTGCCCCTAGATGTCCTTCAACTATGCCTTCGCTTCAGATTAGCACAATAGGGCTGACAGGATGTTGTACACAACCGAGTGAGAGAATCCCTGAACCCAACAGGCAGAATTAACAGAAGCTACAAGAATGATCAAGTGTGTCCTGAAACACTAAACTGCTGTCTGGATAGCTGCAGGCAGCAAAGTCTTTCTCTAAATTGCAACCCAAACAACAAAGAAATGAGGTAAAGGATCACTGGGATGTTATGAGTACTGGCTTGCCGAGACACTAATAATGGGTCAGCCATGTCAGGCACAAGGGAAGTAATGCAATCACTCACACATCTAATCCTATAATTCAATGGACACGGAAAGATGTTCCAACATCAGTGTTATTGAAAAAATTCCTTAACTGCAACTCCAGCACTATCCTAGCTTAACACACACCACGAACATACTCATGAGCAAAGTTAACACAAGCACACAACAACCTATTCATCTCCCATCAATTGGTTTGACATTTGAGACTTGGTCCCAAGCACTACCCAGACATAGAAAGGAGAAAGCTTAAAATGGAGACCACCTAAATCTCTCAGAGAATATACCTCTGGTGGAGAAGGATAAACAAACTAACACCAGGAATGAGAAACCTGAAACAAGATGGGACAAACTAAAATGTTAGGGATATTCAAGGCACATGACAAACACAACACACCAACACAATCCTTCTCTCCGCTTCTCTCCTGTGCAGGCCAAATATGTCCCAAGGAGCATAACACTACTTTGAAGAGATACAAGTATAAATTCCCACAGAGGCCAGTGCATTGATGTGGATACCTGGCACATAAGTGAGGGTGCTGACTGACCGAACCCATGGATGACTTGGGTTGCTGCCTCATGGCATGGGGTGTGAACTAGTGCAGTGGTTGATTATGGCAACTATTGTTTGCTTTGATTTTTGCTTCACTCTCAAGATTTAACGTATGTTTTGCTTTGCCCGGAATTTTTTATGGTTACTCTGTTTTGGATCTCTGATCCCTTTGCTACTTTCAGGCAATCTGATTCTGGTGCTGGTTTGTGGTGGGTCTGTGCAAGTCTAGAAGCCTGGTAGTATTTACGTATGCCTCCGTGGTACCAGAGCCTTAATCACAGGGAAGCTACTAAGGGTTCAGTCTAAAAAATTTAGTAAATGAATTGTGATAAAAAATAAAATATAATACTGTATTGCTTTTTTCCATTTTTGACAGACCAACTATTAGACTTCAATTATTTTACATAACCTATAAAATTCTGTTAATATTACCTACATATACAATATCTGTACAGGTCTATAACTAAAATTCCTGAAGCATTTTTTCAGGAAATGCTTCAATTAACGTAATAGAGAAATATATTTAAGAATTGGAATTGATTAATGCATTTTACTTACTCCATCACTATAACTGCTACTGTCAATTGAACAACCTTATCTAGTTATATCTTACCTTCAACTCCCCTAAGTCATTTATGAGAAGATTCTGAGGTTTTAAATCCCGATGTAGGACCCTTCGCTGGTGACAATAAGCTAACCCACGCAGCAGTTGAAACAGGAAGATCTGAGAACAAAAACTTTTACAATTGTTTTTACATCATGACAATTTCCATATGCAATAAAATGTTTAGATTAAACAAATTTTGCTGGTAACCTCCATATCACTGGTTCCCAAACTGCAGAACCAAGTTGGATAGTTAAAAAAAAAAATAGGCTTTGAATGTTCATAAAAAAATACCTTTCTGAGCATGTTCTTCACTTGATTTTTCCAATCCCATCCCATAATACCTAGCTTCTGAATGCAGGGGTATTTCTTGTATCAAGAATAAGGTGATTAGGCTAAGTAAGAGGGACCACGTTACTGTTCAGATGCTGCCCCCTGGTAGTATAAAACAGAATGAGCTAACTACCACCATAGTTTGTTTGGATGCTCTTTGATGATCTCAGAGTTGTCAACAAGGGTTCGTAAAATTTTGCATCTGAACGTTAAGCTTTCAACAAATCATTTTAGTTGGATTTAAAATTTTAGCTTTCCCTACTACCAGCATGATGATATGTGAACATGTAAAGAAATCCACAAGATATAGCACCAATATCTAAAATATCACCTTCCATAACTTGTTCTTTCCATAACTCCATAACAGTGATAACCAAGCATGAAGTTGGTTGCTATTTCTCTTGTTTGCTTTTTTACAGTTTTTTTTAGCAAAATCAACTGCACTTGTAACACAACTATTGAAAATAAGAGATTTCCAAATTAGGCTGCAATTTGTGGTGTACAATTTCAGAACAAATTTTATTAATTTTAGTGTATTATACTGTTAGTATGCGGGTACGCAGGTGGTTATCTTGAGATGATTTTGGGGCTTAATGTCCCCACGGCCCGGTCCTCGACCAGGCCTCCTTTTTGTTACACCCCCCTAGAAAGCAGCCCATAGCAGCTGTTTAACTACCAGGTACCTATCTACCGTTAGGTGAGCAGGGGCATCAGGGTGAAAGAAACTACCCATTTTGATTCTGCCTCCACTGGGGATCGAACCCAGAACCTCAGGACTACAAATACGAAACACTGTCCACTCAGCTGTCAGGCCCCTAGTACACTTTAAAATTTAAGTAGTGTACATACATTATATGAAAAAAAAATTGTAATATTTTTTATTTTAAAATATACCCAATTTCCCTTTGAGAATTGGATCCTTGACAAAATCCCATGCGGTTCAAATCTGCATGAGCTATTGAAAAATGTTCGCTAGTCAAACTCAGAAACTGACTGTAGTTTCCATAATAAAGTTTGCAAAAGTCTATCAATAATGTAATGTAAACAATTGAGGTTCAACAAGTCTTACTTACCTTAACATTATTCATTGATAGTTGTGCTCCACATTCATCCATGTATTGTTTGAGATCACGGTCTAAATATTCAAATACAAGAGTTAAACTCTTGTCTGTATGAACAATATCATGTAATGTAACTGCAAGAAAAAGAATAAGTAAGAATTGGTGTTATTTTATATACAGTACTGTACTATATACACTTTTCTTTTTAAACATGCAAATATTTATATCTAAAACAAATTTCTTCTCTGAGAGTTTATATAATCGTCTTAAAAATATTGAATGCAAATCTATACAGTCCAATATATGCATCAGCTCAATAAACCTTCACTTCATGGAATTTATTATTTTGAATCTATACTAATTCAACAACATGACCTGACCAACAATGAAACAAATGAGAAAAACAAAAAAATTGCAAAATTCTTGAAGCTGTATCTTCACAAAGAAGAGGTTATAAACTCAAGCTAAGGAAATAAAACTGCTGAAAAATATTAGATTCTTTTTTGCAAATAGAATGGTAGACAGAAGAATTTAAGTGGGGTGGTGGTGGAGGCCACAACTGTCAGTAGTTTTAAATCATCATATGACAATACTGGTACTGGGAAGATGGGACCCAACAAGCATAGTTTTCAGCCTTTAACTGCACAAGTCAGGCCAGGCCCCAGTCTGGGCTTGGGGAGTAGAAAAACTCTCAGAACCCCATTTGAACTACTTTACAACCAGGTCACCACTTACCTGGATGGGGATTTGGGAGTTGTTCTACTCCCCAAGCCCGGCCTGGGACCAGGCTCGACTGGTGAGAGCTTGATCCAGTAGGCTATTGCTTGGAGCAGCCTGCAGGTCCACATATCTACCATAGCCCAATTGGTCTGGTACTTCTTGAAGAAAACTTTCTAGTTTTCTCTTGGTGTCCACGTTTGTTCCTGCAATATTTTTTATACTCCCTGGGAAGATGTTGAACAACCATGCACCTCTGATGTTCATACGGTGTTCTCTGATTGTGCCTATGGCACCTCTGCTCTTCACTGGTTCAATTCTGCATTTTCTCTCATATTGTTCATTCCAGTATGTTATCTTACTGTGTAGATTTGGAACTTGTCCCTCCAGTATTTTCCATGTGTATATTACAGTCCAGTATTTTATATCTCTCGTCTCCTTTCTAGGGAGTACATTTGGAGAGATTTGAGACGATCCCAATAATTTAGGTACTTTATTGTGTCTATGTATGTTGTATATGTTATCTGTATTCTCTACTTCAGCAACCTCTCCCGCCCGGAATGGGAAAGCAAGTATCAAGCAGAACTCAAGACGGTACTCAAGATGGGACAGCACAAGTGATTTGAATAGTACAACCATTGTGATGGGATCGTTGGATTTGAGGGTTCTCGTAATCCATCCTGTCATTTTCTGGCTGACGCAATATTTGCTCAGTTATGCTCCCTAAACGTTAGGTCATCAGACATCATCATTTCCAGATCTTTTACATGCTGCTTTCCTACTATGGGCACCTTTGATTGTGTTTTGTGCCCTGTAATATGTTTAAGATCCTCATTTAACCGTACCCCGAGTACCTGGAATTTACCACTGTTAAACATCATATTATTTTCCACTGCCCAGTCAAAACCTTTATTAATATCTGCTTGTAGTTTTTCAATGTCTTCAGTTTAGTTTAAGTTTAATTCATTTGTTATGCACCCCATACCCATATTGTGGGTGGTAGTGGAAAGGATTACAGAGGCACATAATGGGCTCAGGTGAGCCCATTATGTGCCTCTGCAACCATTTCCACTACCACCCAAAAGATGGGTATGGGGCGCTTGGACTCGGATTTATTTGGTCGACTTATTCTTTGTGTTCTGTTCGACACTTCTTTACCAGTTAGTCTCATTGACTTCATTTTGTGTGATATCATGCCATGGTCACATTTATCAAATGCCTTTGCAAAGTGTGTAATTTTGCATTTTGTATTTTTTCTAATGCCTCAGTGATTTTGTCGTAGTAGTCAAGTAGCTGCAAGAGGCATGATCTTCCCGCTCTAAATCCATGTTGGCCTGGGTTGTGGAGGTCATTGGTCTCCATGAATCTGGTGACCTGACTCCTGATCACACTCTCAAATACATTTATTATGTGGGATGTTAGTGCAACTGTACTAGAATTCTTATCCAATGCTGTGCTCCCTCCCTTGTGTAGAGGAGCTATGTCTGCTGATCTAAGCGCATCTGGTATCTCCTCCCATGTCCAAGCTCTTTCTCCACACTATACTGAGTGCTTGTGCTATTGGCACTTTGCATTTCTTTATAAATATTGAATTCTATGAGTCTGGACCCAGAGCCGAGTGCCTGGGCATGTCATCAATTTCTCTTTCAAAATCTGCCATGCTTGTGTTGACATCAGTTATATATTCAGAGGTTTAGATATCATGCATTAAGAAGTTGTCCAGATCTTCCACTTTCATGCTGTTTATTGGGGCGCTAAACATGTTCTTATACTGCTTTTTTAGAATTTCAATAATTTCTTTGTTATCCTCTGTGTATGAACCTTCATTTGTACGAATAGGTTCAATACTGGCAGTGGTTTTGCTTTTGCATATGAAGAAATATTTTGGGTTTTTCTTTATCTCGTGTACGGCTTTCTGTTCTAGTTGCTTTTTTCAATCTGATATGAATGCTTCAGTCTCTGCTCAATTTCTTCAATCTCCTTGTTTAAATTATTCCTTCTTTGTAGGGAGAGTCGTGTCTGCTTAAGCATTTCCTTTATTTTTGTCCTTTTGTAGTGTAGTCAGAGTTCTCTTTCTACAAATGTTCCTACTTATGTCTTCATTGTGTGTGAAGACCAGATCTAGAATATTTTCATTCCTAGTTGGCTCTTATCTGTTGGTTGAGTGAAAATTTGTCTAAGAGTCTAAGTACAGGTACAGTACTGCAGTTCTCTAATCTATGGTGGTATGTCCAGATAGATTTCCTGATATAATATTATTGTCTGCTATTCTCCATCTTAGATTAGGCCGGTTGAAGTCACCTAGGAAGATAATATCAGGTATTGGGTTTGCCAAATTATTGAGGCTATTCTCTATTTTGCTTAGCTGTTCTGTGAATTCCTCAGCCGTTGCATCTGGCAGTTTGTATAATAGAATAATAACCAAGTTTATTTTCTCTATTTTTACTCCCAGTACTTTAACACCTTATTTGTTGAGTTAACTCCAAACATACAAGGTCTTCTCTAATACACAGACCCACTCTTCCATGTGGCCTATTTACACTATCACATCTGTATAGATTATAATTCTGGTATCCAGATCTCACTGTCCAAGAATTCCCTTGCATGGGTTTCTGTGAAAGCTCCAAATACGGCATTTGCCTTGGTGAGGAGGCCATTTATGAACGATACTTCGTTTTTTTGCTCTTGTTTTTAGTCCTCGTATGTTGGCAAAGATGAATGAGGTTACTCTATTTGGGGTAGTTTGACTGGGAGACTTTTCTGGCAGGTCCATTATGTGTGGACATACCTGATTTGTTCTGACCAGTACTGATTGTTGTAGGGTTGTTGCCTGTCATAATTGTATTTCTGTTGTGGGGTGTAATTGTATCTGATTCTGGTATGCAAGTGGATCTTTTATCCAGTTCCATACATTCTCTCTGTTCCACCTTTTGAAACCTCTTTCGTCTGGCTATAAAAAACAAATGCTATTCAAACACCTGCTTGATGGGGTTCTGGGAGTTCTTCTACTCCCCAAGCCCGGCCCGAGGCCAGGCTCGACTTGTGAGAGTTTGGTCCACCAGGCTGTTGCTTGGAGCGGCCCGCAGGCCCACATATCCACGGGTGTAAATAATGGGTGCTATATAAAAAATAATTTTACACATATCCTGTTAAATCACAAACAAATATCTGATAAATACAAGAAAACTGATACAGTTATGCCATACATGTTAGCAATTTGCATATCACTTGCCACCAACCACCTAGGTTTTCAGCAGTGCACAGAACAGTATTATCCACAATCCTATCACACATACTTCTTGTTGCTGTAGGCAAGATAAACACTATAAAACATGTTATATACAACATTCTTTACAGCTGCATTAAGTGCAGAGCTTTTATTATTGCCACTGATGCTGTACTCTAAAAGCACTCACCAATATTTGCATGCTTAAGTTCCTTGAGCAGCGACACTTCCCTGATGGCTGTACATGGTGCACCCTCTTCATGCTCCAACCGAATTTCCTTTAGTGCCACTAGATTGTCTGTTAGTCGCGATCGTCCTTTGTACACTGTTGCATATGTTCCCTATGAGAGATGTATGATTTTATAGTTAAAATATGATTTTTTACTGCCCGATGCCAACAATATCCATATACTTGTACATGAAAAATAAACCTTTAATATGCAAATCCTGTGATAATAATAATAACAACAACAATAAAAGAAAACTGACATGAAAAATATAATTTTATTCCGAAATGTGACTTGAAAAAATAAGTCATATAAAAAGACTATTTACCATGTTCCACACTCCTCACCTCTCCTAACTTATCAAGTTTGGTATAAGTTTCCATTCTCCCAAAGCCAATTTCAGATAGGGATTGTCTACGAGAGGCTCGACTGAGTGGCCCATCTGGGCTGATAGATTGTTTCTGAAGAAAAGCATCTGGTACCCGCAAATCCGCTGGTAATGATAACCGTTTGTTGATATCCTGCAATTAGTAATATTAGTTACTGAATTACCATGCTAACAAATAGTTATACTGTATTAGCATCAACTAATATTTTTTTTCTAATGGCTGACTAAAGGTTACTGTGATAAATACATTATTATGTTAATATCTTGGATACCTGTAAACCAAGTCACAATGGAATACTGTATATAAAGAAAAAAATAAATCTTTTATTTGTGAGATAAGACTAACTGCAGCCAAGTTGAAAATAAATTCTCAAAAGCAGGATACAAAAAAAAAACTTAACATGGCATTAGAATGAGCTAAATGATAAGTGCCAATGGCAAATAAGGAGATTGCTAGGGATTTGTGTAAGGCAACATCCAAGCATCTCCAGCAATAAACAGGTGGGAAGACTTGGTTGGAGAGAGTGAATCCATCTTCCCAAATTCCTTTCCATGAAGAGAAAAGTCGGTCTGCATGTGTCCAGATATAAAAAAATACAGGCCAGCTAAAATGAGAATGAAATGGAAATGGGTGAAATGTTTTAAAATTCGATTGATGTTCTGTACTAAGTTTATGAATGACGAAGTTATGACGAAGTGACACCGAAGAACAGAATCTGTTAATATTGTAGAAACAAGAGTGAGAAAATGCAAGTACTGAGTGAGTAAAATGCAAGTATGAAACAGTAGTATGTTTCATAAAGAATGAATAGGTATGGAGCAAAAAATAAGTACCACTGTCACATTCAAGGTGGCTTCATGTAAAATTCGTGTTTTAAAGGTTAAAGAGGGTTGTTGTGATTACATATACTAAAGGTGATGCCATAAGTGACATTGAAAAAGTGTTTTTCCTGAGCTTCTCAGTCAGGCCATGTCAACACACCATACGTAACGCCACAGAAGTTTTTAAACTGTCCCCCCACTGAATCATATTGGTGCTAGTTACAATGAATCCAGCCCATGGGTGAAGAGATATGGTGTGAGAGAATAATGGTCTCTCAGATAGTCTTTTCTAGACCATGGTTGCAATGCTGTGCAGTCCTGTGCAAATTCTATTGCTTTTATCCCAGGTCACAGTATCCGTGTTGAGTATCCTTGGATTGGTAATACCATTTGCAACTTGGTTGGAGTACGTGTGAAGATGTACTACTGTACTTCTGGTTAAGCCAGCAGATGATGGAGTTATATATCTCACTTGTGTAGTCATGGAAGCATCACAGCCATATTTTGTGTTACAGAACGAGGTTGGTATGTAGTGGAGAAGGTCAAGATCTGGACCTGACTTCCCAATGACTGAGTTGACCATTCCCTACAACTCCCAGTGCCATTAGTCGGACCCATAGTTCACCCAGCCAGGTGTGAGTTGTTCTGCATTCTGATTGGTGTTCTGTGCTTGCTTGATACCTGCTTGATGGGGTTCTGGGAGTTGTTCTACTCCCCAAGCCCGGCTCGAGGCCAGGCTTGATTTGTTAAGAGCTTGGTCCACCAGGTTGTTGCTTGGAGTGGCCCGCAGGCCCACATACCCACCACAGCCTGGTTGGTCTGGCACCTTCTTTTAGAAAACAATCTAGTTTTTCTCTTGAAGATGTCCACGGTTGTTCCAGCAATATTTCTTATAGTCGCTGGGAGGATGTTGAACAACCGCATACCTCTGATGTTTATACAGTGTTCTCTGATTGTGCCCATGGCACCTCTGCTCTTCACTGGTTTTATTCTGCATTTTCTTCCATATTGCTCACTCCAGTACATTGTTATTTTACTGTGCAGATTTGGGACCTGGCCCTACAGTATTTTCCATGTGTATATTATTTGTTATCTCTCTCGTCTCCTTTCTAGTGAGTACATTTGGATAGCTTTGAGACAATCCCAATAATTTAGATGCTTTATCGCATCTATGCATGCCGTATATGTTCTCTATATTCCTTCTATTTCAGCAATCTCTCCTGCTCTGAAGGGAGAAGTGAGTACCGAGCTGTACTCAAGACGGGACAGTACAAGTGATTTGAAAAGTACAACCATTGTGATGGGTTCTCTGGATTTGAAAGTTCTCATAATCCATCCTATCCTTTTTTTGGCTGACACAATATTTGCTTGGTTATGCTCCCTAAACGTTAGGTCGTCAGACATAATTATTCCCAAATCCTTGACATGCTGTTTGACGTGGAGGTCTCTCCATAACGAAATGCAAGGAATGAGCTCTGCTATTTCACCTAAGCTCCGTCTCGGCATTGTTGTGGAAGGCAGTGACGGAGCTAAAAGTGGATTCCCTGAGCTTTAGTTACGCTCTCCTACCAACCACATTTACTACCTCCAGAAATTCCATCATGCATGGATGACCTCAAAGATGGTAGAGATGATTCATTCAGAAATGGGCCCCATTCATCAAGACGGTGGACGGAAGCCTGCATGTGAATGTGGTTTGAATGCGGACTGTCGAGTAAGTAAATTGTTTTATTGTGTACGCACTTTGCACATATACGCACATATATATGCATATATACATGCACGAACTTGCATTTCGTGGTGCTTAGTGCTGCTAGGTCCCAAATCTACACAGTAAAACATCAACATACCAGAGTGAACGATATAGAAGAAAATGCAGAATAGAACCTGTGAAAAGCAGGGGTGCCATAGGCACAATCAGAGAACACTGTATAAACACGAGGTCCACGGTTGTTCAACATTCTCCCAGCACGTATAAGAAATATTGCTGGAACAACCATGGACATTTTCAAGAGAAAATTAGATAGTTTTCTTCAAGGAGTGCCAGACCAACTTGGCTGTGGTAGATATTGTGGTAGTGGCCTGCAGGCCACTCCAAGCAAAAGCCTCGTGGACCAAATTCTCAAGTCAAGCCTGGCCTCGGGCTGGGCTTGGGGAGAACAACTTCCAGAACCCCATCAAGCAGGTGTCAAGCAGTTACCTGGCGAGCAGGACTCCCCAACGAAGTGCTGGTCCACAACCAAGCATTTGTTTGTGATTATTTTCTAACACACATCAGTTTTATGTTCATGTAATTTATTCCTGAACATCATTTGAGCTTCTGATTGTCCTTTAAATATGGCAGTGGTGTAGGCAGCCATTATTAGTGGAACATGGGTGGTTGAAATTTTAAGCTTGGGTTTTTTATGTCTAGAGTATCATCAGCATAGTGTACTGTGTGTAGATATGCTTATATGACATTCCTTAAAGACAATTACTGTATTCCCAATCCATGTGTAAATATTTCTGTGTTTTTATATTTAATAAATTTGCATGTTAAGAGTTATACATAGTGTATCAGTGAATCCTTTCTCCCTCATATACAAATCTGTCGTCCCCATAAACGGGACCAATATACTACCGCCACATCAAAAACTTTGATGCACAGATTCTTCTATTGCCTGCTTCATCAGGCTGAGTCAGACACGACCTATATCTGGCAGAATTCACTCTGAATTCTGTGCTGTTGCTCTAGACATTTTATCATTCTTAATAACCACTGTGGAGAGTTAGTCCCCTCTAGGAAGGAAAAAGATAATCAATCAACAACCCTTATGTCCGAAACTATTTAGAACACTTCTGTGTGCAGCAGCGCAAGGACCGGGGGACTAACTGTCTCAGGGTATGGCAGCCTTACTTAGTAGCCTTACTCATTCCTCATAACACTGCTCTCTAGGAAGGAAAAAGATAATCAGTGTTATGAGGAATGACTAAAGGAATTAAATCTCATATCACTGAGATTGCTAAGGTAAGGCTACTAAGTAAGGCTGCCATACCCTGAGACAGTTAGTCCCCCGGTCCTTGCGCTGCTGCACACAGAAGTGTTCTAAATAGTTTCGGACATAAGGGTTGTTGATTGATTATCTTTTTCCTTCCTAGAGAGCAGTGTTATGAGGAATGACTAAAGGAATTAAATCTCATATCACTGAAAGACAAACAAGTTAGAAGAGATGTGATGCAACATATAAAATTGTCAGGGAAATCGATAGGGCAGACAATTATTTTGAATGGGTCATATATGAACAAATGGATGCAGATGGAACAAAGTATCTAAATGAGCCAGAGAGAAAATAATGGATTTGTTTAGTGTTTGTAAGAAAGAATACAAGCACTAACATTGGATTTCTTGTAAGCAATGTGAATATGAAGAGTAGAGAGAAACGTGACAAAAAAAAAGTGAAGGCATTACTTTTGCAATAGACTTGACTTACATAGAACGGCATAGCTGTCGACTAGAAGGCCTGATCAGACACTAGACCTGCAGGGCACTCCAGAAACAGCTGATTGTATCTATTTTAGTAATTTTAACTGTAAAATTTGTATTAAATGAAAAGTAACCAAACACCTGCCTCTTGTGTAATACGTCGATTTTTGTTCTGCCTGAGTTTAACATTGATGGGTGAGGTGACCTCATCACTAGCTCCAGATGCTTCCTCACTCTCGCCATCGCTACCAATCCTGGGAACCTCATGCACCACACCTGAAAAACAAGATACGTGTATAACAGTACAGTATACATAAAATATATACACAAAAATGTAACATTTACAGGACTAATTTTAAAAGTTTTATGAATTTTGCATAATAACATGGGAATACTGTACATTTATCACGTTGTACTACCAATGCATCAAGCCTAGTGTTCTACAAATTCATATGACGCATTTAAAGCTAAGCTGTAACTGCTCGTCTGCTATGATATCTTGATATGCTTGTCATGTCATTCTAAGTTTTATGTGTCATCCTAAATGACCTTCAATATAGAATATATTATGACCTTCAATACAGAAGATATTGTCATCCATGAAGGAAAAGCTTGCAATCCCAATTCCCTCTAGAGTTGAACATCGGTTCTGTCTGTATTCAGACAGAACCTTAGTTCTGTCTGTCAAGGGCCACCAGGAGGAATGGCAGGATGTGCAGAATACCCCTGTTGAAAAGCAGAGGTGCAACAGGTACTCTGAGAGAGAACTTTATCAACGTCAGAGGACCGAGACTGTTCAACACGCTTCCAATACACATAAGGGGTATAACTGGTCGTCCCCTCACAGTGTTGAGAGAAGTTCTCACGAGAGAACTGGATAAGCATCTCCAAAGGATACCTGATCAACCAGGCTATGATTCGTATGTCAGGCTGCGAGCAGCCACATCCAACAGCCTGGTTAATCAATCCAGCAACCAGGAGGCCTGGTCGACGACCGGGACGCAGGGATGCTAAGCCCCGGAAGCACCTCAAGGTAACCTCAAGGTAAGGTATTGAAACCACTGCACTGCATCTAAGCTAGTTTCCTCACCATGGAGTCTGTACAACTCCATGACATGTCAATGAATTTTAGCTTTGTGGACTTTGGCCGGATAGGCATGATAAAAATCTGTTTATTTTGATAATTTTATTCCCTCAAAACATTCATCTTATCAGTTATCAGTACCTAGTTGATACCTGGTTGATAGGGTTCTGGGAGTTGTTCTACTCCCCAAGCCCTGCCCAGGGCCAGGCTTGACTTGTGAGGGTTTGGTCCACCAGGCTGTTGCTTGGAGTGCCTCGCAGGCCCACATACCCACAGCCCAGTTGGTCCAGTACTCCTTGGAGAAAACAGTCTAGTTTCCTCTTGAAGATGTCCACAGTTGTTCTGGCAATATTTCTTATGCTCGCCGGGAGGATGTTGAACAACTGCGGACCTCTGATGTTTATATAGTGTTCTCTGATTGTGACTATGGCACCTCTGCTCTTCAAAGGTTCTATACTGCATTTTCTTCCATATTGTTCATTTCAGTACGTTGTTATTTTACTGTGTAGATTTGGGTCCTGGCCCTCCAGTATTTTCCATGTGTTTATTATTTGGTATCTCTTTCAATGGGGGTTCTGGGAGTTCTTCTACTCCCCAAGCCCGGCCTGAGGCCAGGCTTGACTTCTGAGAGTTTGGTCCACTCAAGAGTTTGGTCTTTTCTGTGAATGTTAATCTCTGTGACTCGGGAATCTTTTTCATCAGTTGAGTTATGTTTTCTCATATTAACCTGTCATTTTTGCAAACCCAGTATATTCCTTGACTGTCTCTGCATGCTGTAGATAATTTTGCACAGCTCAGGTGAAATATTATGTTACAGATGCAACACTTAACGCCTGCAGTCTTTTAAATACTTCAAGACACTCGCCACACACCTCCATTGTTTGATGTATTGTATTGTATTTGTGCTTCACTGTATGGATCACTTGTTGACCTCAGTAATTTTACTATTTATAATATTATATGTATACTGTATACAGTATTTGTAATATTATATAGGTGATGAGTCACAATAACGTGGCTGAAGTATGTTGACCAGACCACACACTAGAAAGTGAAGGGACGACGACGTTTCGGTCCGTCCTGGACCATTCTCAAGTCGATTGTGAGAATGGTCCAGGACGAACCGAAATGTCGTCGTCTCTTCACTTTTCTAGTGTGTGGTCTGGTTAACTTATATATGTTAATTTGTTCAAACTTTATGAGCAGGTACTTAGCGTAGAGTAGACGGTCGGAGTGTGATGTACAGTTGACCGTTGTTGTCACAGGATGGATGCCACCAGTTTCCAGTTACTCAATTTATAACACTGATTTATTATTTGCTTGTATTATTACAAGGAATTCTCTGCCTAATTTCCAGCTTGCAATGGTATTCACTCACTCTATTACTAATTCCTAGATCCACATTTCCATATTACACTATATATTGTCCGTATATTATCACTGAGAGACGTGCCATACCCTGTATATTGTCCGTATATTATCACTGAGAGACGTGCCATACCCTGAGTAGGCCTCATGGCTGGTGTAAACACAACCTAGCATGATGTCGTCTCTTGCCACTATTCTATGTTTCTAATATTCAATTTTTCTAATATTCTATACTTTGTTAAGTTATAAATACTGTATTTCCTTTTATTATTTAAAAACAAAAGGAAAAATATCAAGTGTGCAAGCACCTGTGATTAAAGGGCAGTGTACTTCCTTGAGCTTTGTCAACCTTGTGTGGAGTAAGAAAAGTAGAGGTCGAGGGCCACGACGAGGCACTAGCACATCCTCGAGATGGTTGTTCCACACTACAAACACAGGCTAGGACCCACTCACTAGAAACCCACTTAGTAGCCTTACCTTAGCTTCAGTTCTATTGACAACTCTATTCCATTTTAATTTATCACCCATCCAATACAGAAAATCACATTTCTAGAGCACAAACTACTATCCAAAATGCATGTAACTCATGCAACCTGAAGCTTTATTGCTGTCATAATAGAAAATTAGTTGATTTCATGGCAACTCATTCTCAACAGCTTTATATGCAAATTTCAGAAGAAGAAAAAATACAAATGAAACCTCTGAGACAAACACAGGGCATACAAGACTAGCTTTTAGCACACATTTGATGGTGAACCATTTTATACACCCACTGGTGTACCTACCTTGTACGTTACAAACACACAGCCAACAACAGGATGTTAATTTTCGAGAAATGCTTTCAAGTGAAGTGGCTCAACACACCAGGGTATCAGAGAATCTACTCGGGAATATTCGAACTAATACCATTACCAGAAGTTGAATCTAGACCATATTGGGCACACTAATCTATAACATTATTTAAGCTTCAGATATGATGGATTTCCAGTCAGCAAACTTTGGAAAATGAATGACAAGTGTCATTTAACGAGGACAAATTACAATATCCAAGGTATTTAAATTATTTTCATCTTGTTCGGGTGGAGCAGGCACGAGGGAAGATTGTCCAGGTGGAGAGGGCATGGAGGGAGAGTGTCCAGGTGGAGAGGGCATGGGGGGAGTGTCCAGGTGAAGAGGGTATGGGGGAAGATTGTTCAGATGAAGAGGGCATGGGGGGAGAGTGTCCAGGTGAGAGGGCATGGGGGGAGTGTCCAGGTGAAGAGGGTATGGGGGAAGATTGTTCAGATGAAGAGGGCATGGGGGGAGAGTGTCCAGGTGAAGAGGGCATGGGGGGGGGGGAAGATTGTAACATTACTTATTTTCACCTTGAAATGGTAATATCCAATTTGAACTGGTATTATTTCCTTATTTTATATTGTCTTAACTGTAACCGAGTGTAACCTAGTAATACAGTACTGGCTTTATTGCTTCCACTGTTTTAGTATCAACTCTACCGTCGCCTTGACCACACTGCCATCGGAGCAGTTGTTGAGACGCCACACTGGAGTGATGGTACTCTCAAAGGATGGCTTACCTCAAACCTGGAAAACAGGCTGCCACCACCATATGAACATTTAGGTCTTTCAAGATGATTAAATTAGGGAAGAGTTCTTGAGATAATTACTAATATTAATTGAATGCCAGTGGGGAAAAAATCATGGGGAAAAATCACCATGCCCTTTTGATAAAACATTTAGGCCTGAAGTTGAATTACTTTACGTATTAAGGTAATGATTTGATAATTACTGTAGATGATATGAGGACTTCCTTGAGGCCTGGCATTTGATAATTAAGTCCGAGACCGAAGGTTTTCGATCATTTAATGTTTTTAATATACTGGCATTTACGTTAGAGAAAATAATGCTGGAGAACTTGAGGTTCTAAACATGGAGGTTCACGTCCTTGATGGCATATATACACCGCATGATAACCAGGGAAACCCCAGAGATACTTCCACACAGAAATTTAACAATAATTTATTTAATCAAAATTGGAGATCCGTCAATTTTTCCTAAGTTAGGGCTATCCTTCCTTGGTAATGGTAAGAACTTACCCCATGGACAATAACATGACACTGCACTTTATCTTAAGACAACGGCTTTCACAAACGATGGCAAGTGTGTCAGATCCCCTTCTGGTCCAACCCGTCACCACCCAAACTCCGTTGACACTCGTGTCATGCCCAGGGGTCATGCCCAGCGGTCATGCCCAGGGGTATATGTTGGTGTTAGTCTGTTGAGGTCTTGTGATGGTGGGCGAGCTGGTAATGGTCTAGTTCATTAATGGCTGACGTAGCACTCTTGTGCAGTCAGAACAAGCCGTTCAGCATCACGCAGGGACGAATCCCTCATTAACTTTTATTATTCAACCATGGGTCGACCTTCTGACCTCTTAACTGTTTACTGAACCACGGGAATGGGGTTAAGGAAAAATAGAACTAGAGAGGGGAGTGAGAGGAGGGAGATAATTAGAGAAGTTAGATAATTAGAGAAAAGAGGAATTAAAGAACGAATTCTCTTGGGTGTTAGATTATTCAGGTGGAGTTAGGGAGGGGGGGGGAGACTTGTTCAGGTAAAGTGGGTTTAGGATGGGGGGGGGGGGGGAACTGTTCAGGTGAACACTGGCAAGAGATTGTGGTGTGTTGCCATGACCACCATGTACGCGGTTAGTGTGTCCATACGAGCGAGCACATGGCTGCACATGCACACCCCCATTATTGATTGGTAATGTGCTATGGGCAGAGCCCCAACCTTGACAAAGGTGTCTGGGTGAAAAGATTATACGC